GGCTGGTGCTAGGTTATTAAATGATGTGAATGCACCAGTGGCGAAGCCTCAAGCAGCCCCTGCAAATCCTGCAACCCAACCAGCACCAGTACAACAAGCTGAAGCAGATGCTGAAGCTGAAAAAAAAAAGGGTATCAGGAAGCTAACCGCTGAAGATTATGAACAGGTTAAGCATCTTGGGGTAACTGCTGATGATTTTGATGTTGTTGAAGAAATGGTTCATAATAGGCAAAGGTTTTCAACTGAATCTGATATTGCTGATTATATTATTGCCAATGATATTAAGGGTTTAACCATTGATGAATTGGTTGATGTATTGAAGAAGGAAGGCGGTATAAAGACTGATACAAATGAATTAAGGGATGTTCTTCAAGCGTTAAAGGAATCAGGATTAGCTGAAGTGGATATTGACAGGGATGGAAGGATTAAGGTTACACCTGTTCCAAAGGCTGATGTTCCTGATACGGATAAAGTAACTGTGATGTATAAGTATAAACTCAGACCTGAAGCAACTGGTGGTGATTTGATAGAAAATTCAAGAAGCTTTTGTGTTAAGTTAATTGAAAACAATAGGCTTTATACAAGGGAAGATATTCAAAGTATGTCTGAAATATTCGGGTATTCAATTTTTGACCATCAAGGGGGATGGTGGCATGACCCAAAGACGGGAATTACTTATAATCATTGCAGACATTTTTGGCAACCGTTAAAAGTTAAAAGCAAGATTAAAGAATAATAACCACCTGAGAAGGTAAAGAACTTTACTTTTTCAATTTGTGCAGTATAGTTATAGATATGAAAAACTATATACTATACGGATTATTTGAAGAAGGTGCTGTTGGTGCTTTAAAATACATTGGCATAACAAGGAACAAACTTGAAAAAAGATTTCAAGACCATTTATATGAATGTAACACTAAACGGGATACAAAAAAGCTAAGGTGGTTAAGGAAGCTGATAAGGGAAGAAAGAAAAATTGGGTTTATTGCTTTGGCTGAAGGATTATCAAAAGAAGAAGCGGTAGCACTTGAAATTGATTACATCAAAATGCACAGGAATATTGGATTAGAATTGAAGAATACAACTGATGGCGGTGAAGGAATAAGAAAATCATTTGGATATAAGCATAGTCCAGAAGCCTTGCTAAAAATTTCAATATCGCAAAAAGGAAGGATTTTTTCAGAAGAAACAAAAAAGAAGATGTCTGAAGCTGCTAAAAAGAAAAAGCCAGTTTCTGAAGAAACAAGGAAAAAAATATCAATTGGTAATAAAGGAAAAAAAGTAACTGATGAAACTAAAAAGAAGATGGGTGAAGCTGGTAGAAAAAGGATGAATAATCTTAGTGAACAAGAAAAGAAAAAATATACTAGTAATCTTTATAAGGACGGAAAAAGTCCTTGGTTAGGAAGGGAATTTACTGAGGAACATAAATTGAAATTAAGAAAACCTAAAACGGATGAACATAAAAAAAGGTTGGCTGAAGCTGCAAGACTTAGGTGGCAAATAAGAAAACAAAAAGAAAATGAATAAAAAAGTATTATTAATATCTGTTGAAGAAGTAATTAAATCCAGTGTTATTGAAGATAACATTGATTTGAAATTGCTTGCTAAGACTATTTCAATTGTTCAGGAAACAGCTTATAAACCAATTATTGGGAAGGCTTTATTTGAAGGATTAACTCAAGCTGTATATGATTGTAGTGTATCAGGTGTAAGCCTTTCTGAAGCCTATATTAATTTAATAGAAGCATCCAAGCCTTATATTATTGCAAAGACTGTAAGTGATTTCATTATTATAAATAATTTCAAGGTTACAAATAAGGGTGTTCAGAAGCTTAATGATAATTCCTCAACATCTTTATCATCTGGTGATATTGAAGGTGTAAAGCAGTATTATAATAATCTGATTAGCGGATACAAATCAGACTTGGTTCAATTCCTTAAGGATTCTAATCTGATTGATTATAGAAATGATTTGGAAATTACTAACCAATCAACAGGATGGTTTTTTGAAGGTGTTACCCTAACTACTCAGATTGACCAAGCACAGGAAGCCAGTATTGATGATTATGTACAGGCTGAATCAACCTATACTTATCAGCAATTGTCCGAATTGAATAAGGTATTGTTGATTAGTGTCAATGATGTATTTGCTAATTCACCGATTGAAGATAATGTTGATGTAAAGCTTTTAGCTAGGACTATTCAACAGGTTCAGCAGGTCAATCTTAAACCAATACTTACTGAAGGGATTTATAATAATGTTTTGTTTGCTGTTCAGGCTTTAAGCCTTAGCGGTGAAGCAATGTCTTCTTTATACTCAGATTTATTATCAATCATCAAGCCTTATTTAATCAATAAGACGGTTGCTGAGTTTGTTATTCCTAATCAATATAAATTCACTGCCAAGGGCTTGATGAAAATGAATGTTAACTCAGCTTCTGATTTATCTGATGGTGATTTAACCAATGTGAAGGATTATTATGATAACCTTTCAACCACATATAAGGAAAGTATTATTGCCTTCCTTAAGAAGTACAAGCTAACCAGCATTTATTCTGATGATTCAATTACTTCAGATGCAAGCGGCTGGTTTTTTGAAGGTGGTTTAACACCAGTTAATTCAGGAAGTCAGGGAAATATATCACCATTAGCAAATGACAACTATACAATCTCTGCAACCCTTGATGGAAGGATTGCCTATTTTAATACCAATAATGCCTTAAGTGCTTATACACTGGATTTATCAACCCTTGTTATTACTGGTGGTTCTGTATCTGGTGCTTATTTGCCTTTATCAGGTGGAACCCTTACAGGTGCTTTATCAGGTGTAACTTACTTTGGTGATGGTTCAAACCTTACCGGAATAAATACATCTGGTGCTTATCTTCCATTATCAGGTGGAAGCCCTTGCAGGGGCTTTAATTGGAACATCTTTTTCAGCTGCTAGTATATCAGGTGGTTCAATATATGTCAATGGCACGGCTGTAAACCTTGCTGCTTTGACTGCTGATAGTTTTGTAACTGGTTGTACTTACAACCCTTCAACAGGGGTTATATCTATATATAGAAATGATGGCGTTATATTGAATGCTTCAGGGTTGGTTACAGCAAATACTGTTATAACTGCTGTTACTTTCAGTAACAATACCCTTGCTGTTAATAGCAGTGATGGAACCAGCAAATCAGCCTTGATAAATAACCTTACAGGATTGACGGTTACGGGGGCTATCTCAGCAACTACATATTATGGTAATGGTGCAAACCTTACAGGTATTGCTTCAGGGCCGGGGGGTAATGATACCCAAGTTCAATATAATAATGGTGGTATCCTTACAGGTACTTCCTTTTATACTGTTGATAATACCAATAAAAGGTTTGTAATAGGTGTTCCTAGTGGTAATGATGCTGGATTGTATATCTATAATTCAGGGTTGGGTGCTAGTGATACGGCTGCTGTAAGGATTCAAAACCCTGAAGCCTTCAGTACATTGTTTATTACACCATCAACTTCTTCCTTACCATCAACAACAGGCTTCTTTGCCGGTACTGGTAATGGCTTCTTGATATATCCACAAGCTAAGCAAGCCTTAAGGGCTTTATCAGATAGGGTTTATGTATTTGGTGATTCTGATGCTGGTAACTTTGGTGTTGGTTTAAATAATCCGTTGGCTAAGCTTCATGTATTAGGAAATTCAATCCTTGGGGGTGGTGTAAGTGCTGTAACGATTAGTGCAACTACTTTCTATGGTAATGGTTCTAATCTTACCGGCTTACCAACTTTCTTTGATACAAATATTACTGGTGCATCATTTTCAAACAATAGATTAACCCTTACCAATAATACAGGTGGTACTGTATCAACCTTAATTAACAATTTCACAGGTCTTACTGTCAATGGTATTATCTCAGCAACAACAGTATCAGCAACAACATTCTTTGGTAATGGCGCAAACCTTACTGGTATTGTTTTTCCAATTGAAATATATACAACAGGTGGAACCTTCACAAATAACAACCTTGTTTATACAAACAACACAGGTGGAACGGTATCTACGTTAATCAATAACTTTTCAGGATTGACTGTTAACGGTTCAATTTCTGCTGTTACTGTATCTGCAACAACATTTTTTGGTAATGGTGTTAACCTTACAGGTCTTCCAACATTTACTGATTCATATTTTACAGGTGGTACATACTCAGCCGGTACACTTACACTAAGGAACAACACAGGAACCACAATTAGTATATCTGGCTTTTAGTACTGGTGGTACAGCAAGTGCTTCAATTGATTCCTTATGTTACTGGTGGTACATATAGTAATGGTGTGATCAACATTTACCAAACAACACAGGAACAACATTCAATGTTACTGGTTTATTTACTGGTTCAACTGATGTTAGAATAACAGGTGGTACATTCAGCAATAATATCCTTACCCTTACTAACAATACAGGTGGTACTGGTATCTACTGTAATCAACAACTTTACAGGCTTAACAGTTAATGGTATTATCTCAGCAACAACAATATCAGCTTCAACATTCGTTGGTAATGGTGCTGGGTTGACTGGTGTGATTGGAAGCAATGAAAGGATTACAGGGGGTACATTCAGCAATAATAGTCTAACCCTTACAAATACCACAGGTGGAACTGTATCCACAACAATCAACAATTTCACAGGTGTTACTGTCAATGGATTATTATCCGCTGCAACAATTACAGCTTCAACCCTTAGTGTTGCTGGTAACGTGAATGAAGCCTTCAATGGTATCATTGTTGGTTCCTATTGTCCACGTTGAAGGAAACAATACAAGTGCTAACGGTTCTTATGCACATGCTGAAGGATTCCAATCAAATGCAATTGGTGACTATACCCATGCTGAAGGTGGTGCAACCCAATCATCAGGAACTTATAGCCATGCTGAAGGGGTATTTAGTATTGCATCTGGACAAGGAAGCCATGCTGAAGGATACAGCACAACAGCAAATATAAACGGTGCCCATGCTGAAGGTAGTGGTACTACTGCAAGTGGTACAATGTCACATGCTGAAGGTAGTGGTACTACTGCAAGCGGTCAAGGTGCCCATGCTGAGGGATTAGGAACAATTGCGGCTGGAAATAATCAACACGTTGAAGGAACTTATAACAATTCAAACACAACTGCTTTGATGATTATAGGTAATGGTACAAGCGCAGCGGCTAGGGCTGATTTGGCTATATTCAATCAGAATACTATAGTATTCAATAAACCAGTTGGTTTAAGTGTTCAGGTTCCTTTGGCTAATCTGCATATAACAGGTGGTACAACAACAGTTGCACCAATGATACTTGCTTCAGGTACAACCTTACTAACACCAATAAATGGTACTGTTGAATATAACGGTTCCAACTTGTTCTTTACCCCAACTGGTGCAACAAGACAAACAGTTATTGTTGGTCAAACAGGTACAACCCCTGTTACAACAGGTAGTGTAAATACATGGCTTGCAGTATCAATAAATGGTATTCAATATAAAATCCCAATGTATAAATAAACGATATGTCAACTAATTTAATATTAAGAACTGTAACCAGTCCCTTTACTGGTGATACAACAAAAAATAATGTTCTAACCCATGCTGATTTGGATAACAACTTTATCAACTTGAAGGGTGGAATCATTAAAAGCGGTTATACATTCGGCAATTCATTGGTAATAACAACCAATGATGATACAACAATTGCCTTTGATTTATCAAGTCTGGTTGTTACTGGTGGTACAGGTACAGGAACCACAATAATAAACAGCGGT